TCCAAGTTATCCTTGATCTGGTTCTAGTAGGAAATGAAGGTGAAAAGGGAGAAGGGGGAGGCTGTGTGTTGCTGACAGCTCTTCTGTTCCAGTTATTGAGTCTGGAGCAGTGGCCTGTGTGCTGGCTCAGGTCACCTACTTAGCCTGGTGGTTAGTGCAGCAGTTTGAGGGATACTGAGATAACTTTTGAAGTAATCGGATGTTGCTGACAGGTCTAGAAACTATCTGGAAAGCTCTGAGGACAGAGTTGATTTCTGCAGTAGTCATCCTTAGTCCCTATTGCATACTGCATTGAAGTGTTTTTTGTGTGTGTGGTTTTTTTGCTTATTTTTTTCTTTATTTTCTGTTTTATAAGAAAAGCACCTAATGAAGGTCTTTGAAGTTGTTCAGATAATACTCATGATAGAACCATTTCTAAATCTTTTCCAGAGCCACATAAAGTCAGTGACAAGCTATGGCAATTTTTAAGGGTACCAGTGAATCTGTTTCTATTTTTCTTTAGTAAACCTTATTAACCAGGGTTTAAATAGTTTCAGAAAATAGTGCCAAGTGTCTGTAGATTAAACCAGTTTTCCTCAGATTCCTGGTTTAGCTGGGATGTAAAACCAACTTTAAATTAGATGATTACTTTGTTCATGCAAATGCATTCAAACTGTGTTTTGGACCGTACATTAACAGTGCACAGTGTGTCACTGTTTGCTAACTGTGGGTGTTGCATGAGCATTGTTTTAAGTGAAAGTCCATTGTTGACAAAGGCAGTTCACAGTCACCCTCCCAGAGCATCTGAACTACACTGAGTTGTGATCTTCATCCATGCTCCTATCTCTATACTAAAATCCTCTTCCAGTGCTTTAAAATTTTAGTTTAAGGATAAACCATTGTGTTTTCCAATGAACTAAGCATGAAACCCTGCCAGGTGGTAGTATATGGGGGGCTTATGCAGAAGAGGATGTTTGTTCAGAGCCAAATTTAGGGAGTTTGGAGTTTCATGGCAGATTCTCCATTATTGGTTTTGAGGCCTGTAAATATGATTCTCAATGTTTGCAGACAGATCCTTGTAGTAAACCAAACAGTTAAGAAACAGAACAGTGATTTTTCTTTTTGCATAGGCCTAACGGTTCATTCAGTAGAAACTAGAGCACTTGTCTCAAGTGCCCACTTCACATTAGCTTCCATCAGAAAAGGTGCTCCAGTCACTTCTCAAATCAACAGCATCAGCAGGGCTCTCAGAGAGCCAGGAAGCAAATGTGCCTGGACCATGAAATGGTAAAAGGGTAGCACCAGCTTCCCTACTCTGCCAGCTGGAAACCTCTGCTTGGTATATTGCAGATAAGTGTGAGTTTTCCCATGGGCAAGAGACCTTTCCCTCCAGAGACCTACTCCCCTCCAGAAGTAGCTGCCCCAGGCTACTTCTACAAAGGGAGGAAAAAGGCAGTGGGTTTGTATTTAGGGGTGTGTATTGGTGCTCTGCAGCTACTGCCTGTGTGCTAGTATTCCCCAGCAGTGGTTGTAAGCTTGTGTGCCCTAGCTTTTGAAGGCAAAACTGCCTCATCCTTACTGTAAGAAAAGCTCACACAGCCAGATTGCTTGCATGATATTGCTCTGACACCATGCCATGTCTGCCTCACTGAGAATGGTTTCTGGAGCCTTTAAGGGCTTTTGCTCCTGTTGGTTCCTGTAGCTGAAATATATGAACACTTGCTCTTAACTTCACTATCCATAGTGAAGTGCCTAAAGGATATTGCAATGTGTTTGACCCACCTGTCTTTAGGTGTGATCTCTATTTGGTGTAGAAGTCATGTAGTTCATAATACTCTTGCATCATATTGGTTTCTTTTTGAAGGACTGTTACAATTGAGTTGGGTGTGGATATCATGTGAACAGGGAAAAGGACTTCATAAATTTTTGCTAACCCAAGGGTTGAGAAAAGTCAAACCTTTATCTTAAAAATAAAGGTAAACCAGGGAAGGTGAAAGAGACAACTTGGTGAAAAAGAAAAGCTGGTGAAGGAAGGAGAGACAAAATAAGACTGAAGAACTTATATCATCAGTTGTTTTTCCACACTTCTGCAAATATCACGCTTATGTAGCTTTTATTGCTTTGCTAACAGTGCTGTTCAAGGATTAGCCTTTCACCTTGAGTCCTTTTTCTTCATTCTCTTTAAATTTGGTCAACCTTCAGCTGGCAGCAATGGCTCCCTTTAGGATGTGAAATGGCTAACCTTTTTTACAGTGCAGTAGTAGCATCAGGGATAAGGGTCTAGCAAAGTTTTTGAGAGTGTTCTTCAAACTAATTCATAGTTTCTTGTGCTACAGATAAAAACTTTAATTTGGATTTCAGTCTTCAGTTGCTTTTAATATCTTTGTGATCTTTTCAAACTTGAATATCTTCTTTGGCACTGATACTTTCTTCCCTTGTTCCCCCTTTCTTTTATCATTCGTTAATTAATTTCCTTTTCTGTGTTATTTTGATTTCCAGTCAGGCATATATTATAAAGCACTAGGTTATATTTAGAAGGTACTGTACCTCTGGAATAAGAAATCTCATTATGCTTGTGGGATATTATCCTATTTCAAGTCAGTTGATATAACTTGTCCTATGCCTGCATAACGCCTGATATCATGGCAAAAGGTTATATCTTTTAGTGTTTGGATTGTTAGCCATAGTGAACTCTCTAGTTTCAAACACTTATCAAATAAAATACCAATAGTTTCTTAATGTCCACCTGCCTTTGCTGTAGCACACCAGAGGCAAACAACTACGTGGCAAAGTATCATGTAAAACATTAGCTGGAAAACACTTCTGGGTATTCTTTACTGCTTCTGACACCAGAATTTCAAGCCCTGCCCAGTCCTCATAAGGATGATGTTACTTGGAGTCTGTCAAATTTGGGATCCTTTGAGGCCTGAAACAATATTTATTCTTCTGTACCACAGACCTGTTTTTTGTAAGGGAATGATGTTGACCAGTGACACTGAATTAGGTGGGAAAACCTTGACTGTGCTCTGACACTGGGGGGAGGGAGAAAAAAAAAGTTTCATTTGTGAGCCAAATTACTGCTGTTGCATGTATAATGCAGCAGAACTTATGCAGCGCTTGTTGCCTCCTCTGGTGTGGAGAGGGAAGACTGCCCAAAGCAAGGGTGTGACGGTGTGGGAGGAAGCCAATGTAGTTGTTAAAAGTGGGAAAGCTGGAAGGGTGTAGTTGGAAACATGAAGAATGTGGGGTTTTCCTGTGGAATTCCATGGAACTATGAGACAGTCTTGGCTGGTGTTCTTTCTTAGCAGTGCAGCTTCTGATGGTGCCAGGGGACTGTTCAGAACACAGCCCAAGCTGGAGACAGAGACTTGAAATACCCTGGGTTAACTGTAAGAAAGTCCCTGTGCTTTTCATACGGAGAAGACAAACCTGGGCTATTGACTGACACAATAGAGCTGAAAGACATTGTTTTGCTTTTTGAAGAATTTGTCTGTGCTTCTTAATACACGCCAGGATGTCCAGTAGGTTGTTTAAAATTGAAAGTATGACTTACACCACTGTTGAAGCAAATATTGGCTTGGTTGATGTTCATCACTGCAGTAGGCCATCCTATTCCTTTAGTCATTTGAAAGGGATGAATTAAGAGAAAGACAAGTACTGCAGTAGCAGACAAATTTTTCTTTCATACTGTTCCGGCACTTGTACTCCAGTATGGGATTATGATGTAAAAAAAGTATATGCAACAAAAACCAACCAAACAAAAACTGAACAAAAAAGCCCCAAACAACAAAAAAAACCCAAACACCAACAAACAAACCAGTATGCAAGAAAAAACATGTTCAGGTGTTTTGCTTGAATCTTCTAAAGAGGAATATCTACCATAAAAACTAATCACTGAGCTAAAGGACAGAGGGGATTTCATGATCTTAAAATTGACTGATACTGAAATTTTGGCCACTGGAATTCTGGATATTGGAAAATTGACAGATAGGCTGTAGGCTAAACTAACATTAGGAAATTTGGATCAACTGAATAATTTTCAAGTTCTGAAAGACTGTTTATAAAATAAAAATATTGACAAGTCTTTTATAGCTCACTGAGCAGAACTCATATCTGTTGGGATTATATTGCCAGAGATGAGTTTGCTTGTGTTATTTAAAATGCTCGGAACTGGTTTGCTTTAAGATGTTGTAAAGGGCTATTTTACATTTTGCTATAAGGAAGTAGGGGAAAACATCTTTGTCATTAGAAGCAGTTTCCAATCTCTAAAGTGGGCATTTGGGGTATCCTTTTTGTTCTCTGGAGTACATAATTAATATTTGTATTCCAACAATTCTCAATCTCTGTGAAAACAAAGGATTTTGAAAACCTATGTGTAATGCTCATGTGCATCTAAAACAAACTTACATATATTGCTGCATTCGTGTTGTACCCAAACGTACATGGCAATTGGGGCGTTCCAGGCCCAGCATTATTTGCTGACTGATAGTATAAAACAGACCAGCTTTCAAAAGGAAAGAATGATTTGTACAGACTCTCAGCCCAGCAAGGCACATGAGTAAGTTCCTAGGTAGAAAGGGTGTGAACTGCTCTTGTGGCTTCAGTGAAATTAGTTTAGTTCCTTAAGTTATGTACAATGTTGATCAGTTTGTTGAAGATAGTCCTAATGTGGTTAATATGAACAAGTTTGAGCTCTTAACACAGCGACATAAGTGTTTGCTTACAATGGCTCCTGCTTTCAGTGAGGTTAAAGAATGTTGCACTTCTCTGTGAAAGTTATCATAGCTACCTGACATTTCTAGTACAGCATCTTTTTTGGACTGGCTCTGTGTATAGCCAGGATTCATTTTGCTGCTTCCAACTTTAGCCAAATATTCTCTGCAGTTCAGTATGACATTTCAGTTATTACTTCAGAAACCTGAAAGGTTTAGCAATATTGCAGATTTCCATCTTTCCTAACATTTTGGCCTTCATACCGAGGATGCAGTCACTACGTTTTGACAACATATTTTACATTTCATTTTCCGTGCAGTGTTTTATTAGATTAACTCAGATAGGAAGAATGGCTTCACATTTATCATGAGTGACTTGCACATTCAGTCAAACACTGTGTGATATTGAGTAGTTTAAATCTCCAGTGTATGAACTGTAAATTAACATTAAAGGCCTCTCTTAACATCCATTACTCTGTTTAAACAGTCATGCAGAATTATTAGTTACATGTAATTTCTTCTTGAATACAAATATATCATCTGTTCTAATGCTGTCTTAGCTCTTGATCTGCATGTCATGAAGAGAATATCCTAAAATTAAGAAATGGCAGGTCTGAATACTGAAATGGATAATTGAGACGTATTGCCATTTAGTACAAGTTTCAAGTTTGCTTGCAACTCAAGTTACCAAATTTACTAAGAGGTAATGATACTCTCTTTGGTGAGCATGGTCCAAGAGGCTAAATAACCATCCTGCTGGGACTATTGATTCAGTGCTTTGATAGTCTTAGCATAAAAATCTGACCTGTGAAGATGTTAAGGATGCACTCTTCTGTTGCAAGGGATGACTTTCTTTACTCAGTGAAGTAGCCCTTTTAGGCAACCAGGTACAACAGTGTGGAGAGTATTCACTACAGACTTTTTTCTTTTGATAAACAGACAATTTCAGACTCCAGAGCTCTCCATTTATCACATTGCCTAAGTGTGAGCATCTTGGACGTAGGCACGATAAATAAATCAGCAAAAAACCCACAGAGTATGCTACAGGATGCATTTCAGAGTGGAATCAAAAAGCAGAACTGTTGGTGAAGAGCTCGTCATTTCCAGTTCATGTAGCAGCTGTGAAAAACATCTTAGCATCTTCATAATACTGCAGCAGTTTATCGATTTGCACTATAAGTACTAGGATTTCTGCTTCCTAAGGAGCTTAGGAAGCCCAGTGACATGCACTCAATACTTCTGAAGATTGAAATGGGAAACTATGGCTACTGAAATCTGTACTGTTAGCACCCATCCATAATACTTTCTTACTGTTTTTCTACATACTCACCTCACTGCAGTGTGTCTCTACCTGCTTCTCCTGCTTCCTGTTACCTTTGCTGACTCTTACTGCATGCTTTGAGGTGCACAGTGCTATACAGTAAAACCTTACCTCCTCATCCCTTCTTGCAACCTGCTGTGCGTATTTTTCCAACCTCATGTAGCTAAACAAGGCAAATTAGGGAGCTGGAAATTCATTAGTTCTTTTCAGAACTTGTGATCATGCCTGAATATTACTTGTTTTAAGCTACATGGGGATTAAGGTCGTTTGAAGTTACTTGATTAGTGTTTAGGGACAATTAAATGCCAGTTTAAGCTTCTGATCTTTTGTAACAGCATATAGAACTCCAGCATTCAAATTTATGCTTAAAACAGCTGTTATAGAGTCATATTTAACCAGAAATTAATTAGCCTAGAAAAAAAAATGACTAAAATGTGATTATATTTAAGTTTGTATTTCAGTTTCCATCTGTGGCGAAATCAAAACCTATTCAGCCTTATGATCATTCATGGAGATGGCTTAATTTTTATTCTTACAGATTTCAAATTTCTTGCTTATTGTCTTTATATATTAAAAATGACCTTGTTTTAAAATTCGTCATGTTTTAACTTTCTTAGTAGGACCATTATCATGCACAACTAGTTGAAACTTCTGCAGTGAAAAAAGGCACATGCTCTAGTAACAGAAGCGTGGCTTTGTCCCTGTATTTGCACTGCTTATCTGATCTGTGCAAAAGCTGATCTGTGTTAATGCTTAATAATAGCATATGGCAGCTGGCTGTATGTAATGGTTGAACAGTTGTTACAATTAATACATTTATACCTAAGATATCCTTGTTTTTCTATATCTAATGCTCACTGTACCCATCACTAGTGTGATACTGAGTGCCCTGCATAGATAGAGAGATAGACAAGCATCCACGAAGCAGTCTCGGATATAGCTGTTTTGCAGAAATATTTGATGAGAAACAACTCTCCTCAAGCAATAAAACCTGAAGCAGTTGACTGCTTAAATTGAAGTATACATTTGAAGTGATCTTAAAAAAACAATAAAACTTTTCCCAGCATGTAAGCTTTGTGTGCTGTGAGGCGGTCATGCCAAATGCCTTTTGGAATAACTGCTGTATAAATAGTGGTCATGCCCATTCTGTGCAGCAATAAAAGGGTGTCTGTTGCTGATTATGTAGACATGAATGTCTTCTACTATCAATATTCACTTTGTGGCAGTCTGGTGCAACCCTAGATAAATTAGGCTGTAAGGTGCTTTTAGAAAGCAAATGTTGGTCTGTCAGGAAAAGTCTATGCTTTAAGCTTGAATGAGCTTAACCTGTCAAGACTGAGGTGCCTGCAATGCATGTTTTAAATATTTTTAGTTCACATACTCATTGGACAAAGAATCTTCTGCTTCTTCCTTATAACTGTAATAGCTACTGTATTAGTAGCTCTCTGTGGATCTGCTCAGGAACAGCTGTAAAAGTGCTGTCATCATGGCAGCATGAAGATGTTAGGAAGATCTTTGTTCCAGCTGACTAAAGTCTACAAGTAACATTCAGAGGTCTGTGTGAGGGGCATGATACAGTCAAGCACTAAGACAAGACTGTAAAGAATTTAGTGGGCTGGTAATGCCTACATCTTCTTATCAAAACCTGCTGCAGTTGAAAAGCTTGCGTCTTGTTGTAGGTACAGGGATGATGATAAACCCTTACCTGGGGGGAGCAGGTATTTAGTTGGTATAATTTAATTTCTCTTTGAGTTTTGTGCTTAGTACATTTTCTAGCTTCATGTTCACATAACAGCATCCCTTATTTTTTTGTTTTAGTTTTATTTCTTGTGATTAACATTACACTATTTATGCTAATGAATTCATCTGGGGTTGATGTGCAGTGTGTTCAAGCTGGAGTTTGTACCCTCCTAATCCTAGGTCTCCTTCATGAATATCTTCCTTGCCTGTAGCCTGGGTAGAACCTGTTCTGTCCCACACTGGCGTGTGAGCAGACGATTCATAGTTTTCAGTCAATTCATCATTATTTATGATATAATCTGTGTCATCATCCTTCAGTTGATCCTGCATTCAAACAAAGAAAAAATCAGTGGAAGGAAGACTCTTGAGGAGGAATTTTGTTAAAGCTTAAATGGAGAACAATTCTAAAGCAATTCCACTTTCATCTCATTATTTGATTATTTTTTCAGGTATTAATTTACCACCTTGATGTTGATTTAAAACAAACAATTGCTTACCATATTCTGTTTTCCAGCAGTGTTGAGAAACATAATCTACCCTTCAGATCTTAAAGATATAATTTCAGTCCTAAAATATCATTCATGCAGCCAATTCTTTAAGCCCCTGACTGAATTATTTTCAACATGTCACTCATGTTTGAATCTCTTGCAGTATTACTGGCCATTCTTGAAAATGCAGCAGTGTACCTTCTGAGACCTCTTATCCATTACCCTGAAGAGATTGTGTAATGATGAGCCTTGAAAGTAATAGGCTTTGGAAAAGGGAGTTTACCAAAGTGTTCTGTTGAGGATGTCAGGGTTTGGATTATACCTTAAATAAAATTAAGCAAAGTGGGTACTTACCTCATATGCACTGGGGCTGGTCAGAAGCCTGGCAACAGGATTGCACCATTCAGGTAATGTCGTTGTAAGTGGTGGACCAGCATGGGTTAAGATAGGTTTTAGGTATCTATAAAGTTTGTTAAAGAATATTTCTTATAGAAATATTGTTACTAACATGTTTTTCTAGTACACAAAGAAATCCCTTTTTAAATAAGGGAATCATCTAACTGAATGGAAACAGAAAATACCATCTCTTTATCCATCCGTTACTGCAGACCTTCACCTGTCATCAGAGTTGTCTAATGTTTTTCAGTAACAACAAACCAACCCACACACCAAACCAAGCAAAAAAACCACTCCTCATCCTGCTCAAAACCAAACCCCCAACCACAAAATAAACCCCCAAATATTTTGATGCTCAAAGTGTGTTACATTCTGAGGGCTGTTGGAATGGCTGATGGGGATGTGTTGTGGAATACTAAATGCAGTAGGAAGTGGAAGAGAGGAAATGTGTACTAGATTATCCTGTTTACTATTATCATCTATTGTTTGCTGTAAGTGTTTAACAGGAAACAAGATGCAACTGTATCAGTTGCTTTATGTAAGAACAGTAGCAAACACTTTCTGAAACATACTCAGCCTTTTGTAAAATCAATGCATTTTTCTTCAGTAGGCAAAGAATATTTTGGCTAATAAGTTTATCGCTGGGAGTGTGTATAAGTTATGCACAACACTGGCTTTTCCACATTCAATGTATTTATTTTACATATCATACGTCAATGCTTCTTTCTATAAAATTATGTTACTATGTTAGGAACAGGCTTTAAGCTATTGTCTTGCACCTATCTTTCCAATATTTTAATCCAAAGGTGCTTTATTGAGATAAAAGAAAAACCTGCTCATCTTGAACAATTATATCATCCTCATATCTGGCAATAACCACTTTCCCATGAGTCCCTCAAGTTGACTTATCTTCTCTGCTACTTTTACTTGCAAAATAATTTTCCGTGTTCTTAGGAAGCAAGTCTGTCAGCTGTTTTTGCTGTTAAGGAAAATTTGCTTTATTGATTGCTGTCCTGCTTTCTCTCCCCTGCTCCTTTCTCTTGCTTGCTTTCTTGTGCTTTCTCCCTCACACTTTCTCTATGCCTCCTTAAAGAAGGAGGGAACAAATGTAAAACAGCAGTGGTTAGAGCTCTGTATCAATATTGTAGAAATACTGAGTAACTAACAGTGAGTCTTAACCGTTCCTGTGTCTCCTTTTCTTTATTGGTTGTTTATGGTATCACTGTTTTACTCAAAGTACAAATTCTGTATTCTGAGAAATGCTATGTAAAATATATATCCTTATGATCTTGGTTACAGATTGAAAGGCTTAACAACTTGCTCTGCTATCCTCTATGCTATAGCCATGTAAGTTCTATAGTATCTGGTGTGGTTCTACAGTATTTGTGCATTTTTTATTTTTTATTTTTAACTGAATCTGTCAGAAAATTGTACCTTTGTCCAAGGTCTCATACTGAGTTAGTGTGAATTAAAAAAAATATTGTAATACTTTAATTTAAATTCTTATCAGCGTGATGATCAGGGTGGAATCTCATTAAGTCAAATTGTAATTAGGAAGTTTAGATCCTCTTGCTTCTGAAAGAATAAAATCAAACCAAAAAAATCCTTTTCTGATCAACTCCCAATTTTATTTGAAATCTCTGAAGGGCCAAACAGTTAAGAACTGTTATTAAAAGCTATATGTGAAAGCTGTCATAATTGTTTTCAGCATTTCAGAAAAACATACTTTCATTTCTGGTTTTGTAATTAGGAGCCTAATTTCGGATTTTTAATCTTTGGAAATATTGTCTTTTTTAGTACAAACAACCTGGATTGTTTGAACTGAGTTGTCAGACCCAGCCTGAAAAATACAGGCTTGTAATGGAAGTTTTGTATGATTATACTGAATTCCATCTGCTCTGTTCTTTTATTCTCTTAGAACAACTAACTGAAGATGAATATTCCTCTCACACTTCCTCCTTTACCCTGATGATCACGGGGATAGGTCTTAAGCTAAGCTGCCTTTTAACTTTGTAGTGAGCTTTTCCACCTCATAGTAAAAATTGGAGTCCTGTTTTCTTGCATTCTTGCACGGAGGACAGCACTAGATCAGGTAGGAATAAGGTGTGCATTCTGAAACAGGCAGTCTACTTAGCCACCACAGTAGTCTTCAGATTTTTTGAGACACCACTACTTTTAGTGCACCTGGTGTGCTTAATTTGTTGCCATATGTGTACGCTAGTGTTCTTGAGTGATGGCTTTATTTTGGGCTGCAGTAGGTCCTCCAATTCCCCTCTTCCTGCACGTACTCTAACACATTCATCGTGTGTTGTCCATGCTTCTGCTTTGAGGCCTCTTGGGATGCAGTTTAAAGTGAAGACAGTTTTCTTGTGCTTGTTGTGATGCTTCTGATTCTGCAATGAATTATTTATCTCTTCATTCCTTACTTAACTAGCTACTATTCAGCCTGCTAAAGGGACTTAAATTCCGCTGTCCTATTTTTCATTGTTTTAATAACCTATGCCTTACATGTTTTCTCCTTATTGTTGACACAGTTGCTTTATGGTATTACAGGTATAATCACATCATTCAGTGCAGCATGAAAGAGGAATCCTAATCCATGTGCAGTGCTGGCATTTCTAAAGTATATCGGACTTGGGTCTATAGCATTTTAAGGCTGGCAAGAAGTCTTATCACACTCCAGCTGCTCTGGTTGCATCTCCCAGCATCTCCATGGAGAAATTATTTAAATAGTGTAATATAAAAAGGTAAATTTTACATTAAGGCTGCTTTAAAAATTGGAGGAAAATAAGTATAAACCTCAGCATAACTCATAAATTACTGCTGCAGTAAACTCATGCCTTCCTAAGTCATGGATAGGGAAAAGATAGCAGGAATATATTTCATCAGTCATCCCACTTCTAGATTTGCACTTCAGGCTTCCATCGGCCAAGCAGCCCATCTGCATAGCTCAGCTTCTACACTAATAATATAATATAATATTATATATAGTAATATACTGTGTTAAGCATTAATATTATAAAGGTGGTATCTTCCAGTTGTGGCTTAAGCTCAGACAGTAACTAAGTACCATGCAGCTGCTTACTTTGCCCTTTCTCCCAGTGGGATGGGGAAGAGAACTGGAAAATAGGTAAAACCCTGTGGGTCGAGATGAGAACAGTTTTTAATAAGTGTGAAATTAAAATATAGAAATAGAAAGGAAGCAATAAATCCTGACACCTTCCCCCTTCCTCCCCCAAAAGACCCAATCCAAAATAACAAACCCCTAACAAACAAAAAAAACCCAGAACACAGGTGATGCACAATACAATTGCTCACTACCCACTGACCAACACCAAGCCAGACTCAAGCAGTTATCAGTCCTTCCTGGCTAACTCCCTGCAATTTTATATACTGGGCATGATATGCTCTGGGATGGAATATCCCTTTGGCTAGTTTGGGTCAACTAGCCTGTCTCTGCTGCCTCCTGGCTTCCTTTGCTCCTCCTCACTGACAGAGCATGAGAGGCTGAAAAGTCTTTGGTCAGGGTAGGTGCTACTTAGCAAAAACTAAAACATCTCTGTAATATCAACATTATTCTCAGACTAAAGCAAGAAGCAGCATTGTACCAGCTAAGAGGAAAATGAACTCTATCCCAGTCAAAACCAGGATGCTTCTAGGTTGGGAAACTGAATTCAAGATGCCTGTATATGCACATGTAAGAATTTTAGTCAGTTTGCAGTACTGGCATATTAGTGTGCCTTACTTTCTTAATCAAATAACAATTTTCCCATTGATTCACCATATCTGCAGTCTTCCACTGCCAGTTCACGTGCCGAGAAATGTTTATTCTGAGTCCTCTCATTGATATTTGAACATCCCTTTGTCCAGGCAGATTGTCTTCCCTTGCCACTAGCTAGGCCCCTCTCCCATCCTGTCTCACTGACATCAGACTCAACACATAAATCTGCCTACCCCTTCCATGTACAGCTTCAATCTCTTTTGGGTTTGACTCCATATGATGTCCTCTTCTCTCCTGCCCAGCAATAAGCAAAGAAGGCAATGCCATTGTAGACAAGACAGTTGGTAAGTGTCTGAGCAACGTAACTTAGCTGAATCACAGGCAAGTTGTCTGATGGGGCTGATGAGGCTGAGCAATTCATAGAGGGGCTGTGAGAGGGTACAGCATGTTCAATAGCAACAGGACCTTCAGAATCTAGCTCTTGAAAATCAGTGTGTTTTTTTTTTCTTAAGTGTACAAATAGCCAATTTTTCAAAGTTTCACAGTGTGATCTAGTTTAGGCTAAATGGCAAAAGGCATCTCCAGGGTTGAATATGAGGCTTTTCCTCTAAGTGCAATGTGTTTAGCAATAATCCAATTGTCTGAAACCTCTGTGGTGGAAACTTTCCAGGCTTTTCAAGTATTGGGTAATATTGGTGAGAAACACTACTGCCAATAGCCATATTGCCGAACATTTAGGATTTCCATTATGCAGGAAATTTTGAGATTTCAAAATAGTTTTTGTGTCATGTCAGAACGGAAAAAATTGGAATCTCAAAATTTCTGTTCTTATAGCCAATAAGCATCAATTACTGCACTGTTGGTAAAAATCGGTATTTATCCTTTTGATAAAATGGCACTAGCATGTTCAAACAGAAAAAAAAAATCTGGCAGAAACATCGTTGTTATTTTGAGTCAGACCTAAAGGAGGTTCACTTTTCTTCCGTTGGAGGAACTGATTCCCAATCCAGCTGTGCCTCTGCTGAAGAGTATAATAGTAAGAGAAATAACTTGCAGCTGAGGGGATGGGGACAGACAAAACCCAATGACAAATACCTCACAAAAACAACAACAACAAAAACAACCAAAAGCAAACATCTGCCACACGCCCCACCAAAGCAGACAGTGTGGTCACTGTTAGAAATATGTATAGCAGTTCTGCTTCAACTCAGAGCCCTGTATTGGCGGAGGAGGTGTTTGCCTTTTGCCTCATTGCATAATGGAGGCTCTGTAACTCAAGGTAATCCCATCCTCCCTTCCTGCCAATATGCTCATGCTATTATATTTACTGTTACATATAGTGG